GTGTCCCAGAAAAAATCACTACACTGTCATCACCTTTTGACACTAGGAGACACTGCACCAGAGGAACATTCAGACAGTACTGGATGTGATACTGTTGTTCTTGGGAATAAAAATGGCACAATGTTTGATTTATTTAAAAATAATTTTAGGACCTCCTTTGGTCTACCTGCAAATGCTAATACATTAATAAGGAACAAAGCTCATCTTGACATGGCTGTTTGAGCAAACTCAAAACTGTGCTTTGTGACTCAGGTGTCTCCTTTTGTACTAGCTAGAGAATGTCTCCAACCCCTGTCGTACAATGCAGTTACTTTTCACATCCATCAAAGGTTCCTGCAACGGCATCCCGGCCTCACTGCTTGAGTCCACATTTAATTGCAGGTAGAGTCTCTGTCCGGGACAGGATGAGGAAAGGATGTATGGTGCTCCCTGTTTGAGGGAGACAGGTGCGCAGCAGGAACCAATGCTGTAATTAACAGTGCGCATGGTGTGCTGAACTCACCTGCCCCCAGGCAAACATTGGCAAAGGAATGTGGGTTCCTGAACACGGGAGGCTGCTCATACAGCCAGAGGAAGGATGAAATCTTATTATCTGAGTGTCTGGGTACAGCACAGGGAAGAAACAAAATTATAATAATTCCTGACAAATTGGTTTCAACAACAGACACAACCTCTCCGTCCATCATCCCCCGCTTGCTGAGAGAATCATTTCAGCTCACAGTAACACAACTTGCACCCGCGGGCGAAGACCAGGTGGTGCCTTATCTCAGCGAAGGGGGAGGAAGAAGGAGTGGGCAGGAGGCAGGAGGCAGGAGGGGGGGCTGTGATACTTGTTTCACTTTTTTTAAACGTGTCTTTCACCCTCTCCCTCACCATCTCCGACCCCCACTTCTCCTGCTCCCTGTGGAAGCGAGCAGTGTCAGCCGCTGGGAACTCCGGATCCCTCCGGTGGGCCAGGCGGGCGGCTGGCGAGACGCCTGTGGGCCAGCGGTGCGCGGAAAGCAGACCGCAGTTGGAATCCATTCCCTAGCGATCCCTCCATCAATCCTGCCCTCCGAGAAGAGCTCCCAGCCAGTCGGGGACACGCTACGACACGCTATGACTGGCCCACTCCACACTCCCATGAAAGAAAGATGATGAGGGCGTGTGCATGATGGGAGGACTGGGACAGCTCTGTGTGTTCCGGTATCCCACGACGACGACGGCTCATTAGGAATTTTTACGCGAATTTTTCTACGTTTGCGCATCAGACTACGCGGGGAACACCTAACGCCGTGAGCTATTTATGGCTTGGTTCCGAAGCACTATATTGCTCTTGAGTGTGTTTCTTCTTATCCTCACTTATTCAGTGACCCAGAGAAAGGATGGGCGACGCAGAGAGGGGACGTACACCCACTGAGTCATTCTCCCACTAGGAAAACTCCCGAAGTGTGTGTGGGCAAGCGCGTGTGAGGAAGCCCTGCCCGGCACTGCTGTCCTGTGAGCTGGCGCGGGCAGGTCCTGCAGGGGGAGTGAGAGGGACTCCAGGTCCTGCAGGGGGAGTGAGAGGGACTCCAGGTC